TAGACTGCTCATATCTGAATGAATCATTTTGTTCTAAGAAGGTGAAACTTGTGCAGACATCTATGTCATACAGTCCACCGGATCTGAATAAAAACATAACTGACATTTTTGGAAAACTTATCAACATATACAGAGGTGAGAGTGACGTTTTTTGGACTAATTGAGGGCTCGTGTTTCCGCACCTGGTTTCTAATGGCTTGTCTTCTTTGTATTTTAAGCATTGGGTGATGAACGAAGGTCATTTAGCTACTACAAGGCAATTCCAGTAATTGAGGAGCTACCCTTTAAAATTGAGAGCATTGATCAGGTGAAACACCTGCCAGCAATCGGAAAATCGTTGCAGGATCATGTGAGTGTAGCATAATGACTGTAGTTCCAAATTTGAATTTTCAACTAACTTCTTTCTCTTTTGAGGTATTGTGTTATGTTACCTGCAATCAATCTGCTTGTTCATAGTATCATTTCCCATTGAATTGTGTGTTAGGGCTGGCCTGTTTTGGCTAGGTTATTTCTGGACCTGAGATCGCTTCCGACCTCTGCAGGACTGTATTGGAAATCCATCTTGGCATGGGGGAGGACAGGACATGTCCTTGGGTGTATATTATAGTCCTAGCTGCTTTGCAATTTGTATATGGATTGATTATAGAAAGATTGTGCATTGTCTTGCAGATTCAAGAGATATTGACGACAGGAAAGTTATCGAAGTTGGAGCACTTCGAAACAGATGAGAAGGTGGCTGCAGATTTTAAGAAAACCTTAGACGTTCTACGTTGATAAATATACATATTTATCTTTCGATGTAGTGATGATTGATGCGTTTACTATCTTTCTCCTTGTTTACTTATCATATTGTAGTTTTAACCATTGTAGGTCCGGACAATCTCACTTTTTGGGGAAGTATGGGGTATTGGACCGGCTACAGCTCTGCGATTATACGACAAAGGATGTAGAACCCTTGATGACTTGCAGAAGGAGTCATTAACCCATGCGCAGAAAATAGGGTTGAAATATTTTGATGATATTAAACAGAGAATTCCTCGCAACGAGGTCGGCTGCTTTACTCTTGCGGTTTTTGCAACGTTAGCTTATGTTTTGGGTAAATGTGTTCTTGGATTTCTGAAGTCCATCTGATTTGATAGGTTCAGGACATGGAGAGTATTCTAAAGAAGGCTGGGGAAGAGGTTTTGCCAGGGGTGAGAATTGAAACACCTCCTTACATACTCAATCTAATAAATTTGGTTGTTAATTGATATTCATGGTGCTTGTTGTTTCAGGTTCTTATTGTCTGTGGAGGATCATTTCGGCGAGGGAAGTCGTCCTGTGGAGATATGGACATTGTAATCACACATCCCGATGGGAAAAGGTTTCAAGCCCCTTTCCTTAATCACTTATGTATTATTACTCTTGAATGTCGTTTGAGTTGAATATCTCAATGTGAGATCCCACATCGGTTGGAGAGGAGAACGAAACATTCTTTATAAGGATGTGGAAACCTCTCCCTAGCATACGCGTTTTAAAAACCTTGCGGGGAGCTCCAAAAGGGAACGCCCAAATATCTGCTAGCGGTGGGCTTGAGCTTGGGCTGTTACACGAAACACCTTCTTTTGGATCAAAAGAAGTATAAGCATAGTTTATGGAGTTTACTTCTTATTAATAGTTCCTTATTAATAGTTCCTTGAGAGTTATTTTGTCTGTAATTTTAGCCATAGAGGTTTTCTACAAAGATACGTTAAGCATTTAAAGGATATGAAGTTTCTAAGGGAGGATCTGATATTCAGCACGCACAGTGAGGAGGTTTACCCATTTCTCTCTGTTTATCAGTTTATGGCTACAAGATGCAATGATATGCTTTTCTCAATCCCTTTATATATATACATTGTGAAACCATGAACAGGGAACAGATTCTGGTGTCGACACATATTTTGGCCTCTGCACGTATCCAGGAAGAGAATTACGACACCGAATAGATCTGAAGGCACGAGTCCTCTCGTTTCTAATCTTCTCTTTCTTTGGTCACTTCTTGTTTAGAATAGAATGGTAACTTTGAAATAGGTTGTTAGAAAAGTGGTGATAGAATAGAACCTAGTTCGTTTATGGTAGATTCGACCGATAACCATTATGGGTTGACCCAGACACTCACGGATATTAATATCCTATGCATTCGACTCTTGCAGGTGTATCCAAGAGACATATATGCATTTGGATTGCTTGCATGGACGGGAAACGATGTACTAAACAGGAGGTATGCTGTTTCTGTGTGTTTCGCGTTTTGAAATAGTTTTTGGAGTTGAAAAGTGCAATGCCGTTATGCATACAGGCTGAGATTAGTAGCAGAATCAAAAGGATTTAGGATGGATGACACTGGGCTGTATCCAGCAACTCAAGGATCTGGTGGTAAAAGGGTAATTAACCAATTGCCTTAGTTCAGAAGACATATGGCCTTAAAATATAGGGCTATCCCTAACTAACTCCATTGATGGGGTGATTATGCTTACAGGGTGCAAAAGGTAGTGCAAGTTTGAAGTTCGATACAGAAAAGGAGATTTTCGAGTTCCTTGGATTTCCATGGCTGGAACCGCATCAAAGGAATCTATGACTACTCTCCTCTTAATGTACATTACAACAACTCTCTAACCAATTGGGCCTAAGGAGGATTGAGCTTAAATGTGGGCCCAATATATGAAAAGCCCAAAAACATCCATGTATTGATTTGATTAATAAGAGCATCCCACACGCAATAAAGACGAATGAGGGGCTTATTAGGTAAGATGAGGCTTTCAAAGAGAGCGTCCCATAAAAACAATTAACAAAACCCATAATCTTTATTTCCTTATCACATGAATCGACACCCCATTTTGTCAAATTAAATGATTGTAATGGTTCGGTTCGGTTCGGTCCAATTTGACTACCAACCCGAAAGTAAACTACCAAAAATAATTAATGGTATTTTTAATAATTTACTTTTATTATTTTATTATTAATTTTAAGATCAGATGGAATTAAAACATTTAAAAGGCTAAAAATAATTTCATAATATTACAATATTTTTGCTTTTCTCTATCTTAATTAATAATACTCAACCTTATATTTCATTTAACTACATCTAACCTTTTTAATAATTTATTTTAATTCACAATTTATATATATATATATAATAATCATTTGGTCGTATCAAATCATTATCATGTATATTTTATTTACACGTAGTATGTAATAATAAGAATTAAAATTGTTTTTTTTTTATAATATTAATAGAAAAAATAATACATTCTTATAATATGATTTTTTGGTTGATGGTATAAATCGAGTAATGCTTGTAATCACATTAATTTAATACTTTTCATTAATTATTCCATTCAAATAATTTTGATTATTAAGGTTCATGATTAAATAATATAATTTATGACTACATAGGAGGAAAATCAACAATAATTGTGAAGTTTGTTGACTTGGCTTTTTATATTTTTAATCATTTATTTCATTTATAAAATTTTCGAATATTTTTTTTTATATCCAACTTAATCAAATTATAAAATTTTATTTTTTTGAGGCAAAAAATATAAAAATAAAAACAGAAAACGGTAATAATGATTAAAGATAAATATTATTTCAATGGCATAATCATAATAAATTTATGGAATGGATATTAATTAAGCCTATGTCACCTTCTATAGCTAGGTAGCATATATAGAACCTTATTATACCAATACGAACGGACTTTCACCTAACTTTATAGAGCCAATCATCATGATTTGCACTAAAAATATATTCATTAATACATATCCTAAGTTTGAACAACACGTTGTATTTTTCTAATTTTTATAATTTGGATATCTCAATCTATCTCACCGACCATTGTCACAAAGGATCGTAATCGAGATAAAACGGGCCCAACTCCAACTATTGCATCTTTTCATCAAACTTTAGATAAATTATACATATATTTATGGATATTTTAAAACCTCTAAAATTATTTCAAAAATGAAATAAGGGAAGACAAGAAGTGAATCGAGATACAAATTTGGAGCCTACAACGTTGAGACACGATAAGAATGTCACGATGCTCACTCTACAACCTTCATGCCACAAAGTATGCATCGAGGGCGTCTTAATGCCAATGAGGGGAATGAAATATTATTTATAAGGGTATGAAAGTCTCTCCATAGCAGACGCGTTTTAAAAACCTTGAGGGGAAATCCGAAAGGGAAAAACCCAAAGAGAATAATATGTGTAACTTTTCTAGTGATAAGAGGTCATCAAAAGACTAATCAGGTACAAATATAGTCCTTAAATTTAAGTGGGAGGTTGAGTTTCTCTTTAATATTTAAATTTAAGGACGTGAAACGGTGGCATTGATTCAAATTACCCAAGCTCTACACATTAATGTCCTTATGATAAAAAGGACGAATGCAACAACCAAAAGCACATTGGGCACCTGCACCCAAGGCCCCCATCTCCCATCAACTTGCCCAGTATTTTCTCCTTGTCTCCACCCAAACCTAGTAATGATAGACCAGCTAGTGCCATTTCACAATGATACTGTTTACGTGTAATTTTTTAAAGAAAATAGACCTAACATAGCTTAAAAATATATAATGTAATAATCAATTAAGTTGTATTTACATGTTTGAGTGAATATCATAATAAAAATTTAACAAGTAGCCTAAAATAAAATTAGTATCCAAAATTTATAAATTAAAGTATTTAATTGGAATAAGAAAAGCATTTAAAATCAAATTTGGTAAGAGGTTAATTACGGTATAGTCCCTTAATTCCAAACACAAAATAAAAATAAAACAAGTAATTAACATTGCGTTATTGGGGGTTGGATAGGAACTGTCCTCCATTGCTCAAACATTCTTGATTTGGGTAAAATGTTTCCCGCACTTTTTTATTATTATTTTCTTTTTCTTAAATATCAAATATTATATTTAAATTAAGGGAAATAAAATAAATAATATCACGATTGAATTTACATCATATATATACAGACAAAGCGATGCAACCCTCCAAGACCCAACTTCAACCAAACTACTTTTTCTTCACTTTAAACCGGCGTTAGAGATTCCGTCCAGTTCTCCGATCTCTTCTCCAGCGACTTTTGAACCTCTCTCGTTTGGAAGATGGCAATAGAATGAGGAGCCAGAAGTGGCGATCATGTCCGTATCGATTTCCAACTGCTTCTCTGATTTGCTCTGCCAGGAGGATTCCTCCGGTGTCTTGTCCGGTGAATCGCTGGGATGTTCTTCCGACCTCGACTCCCCGGCCTGCGTCGAGGAATCTATCGCCGTCTTCATCAAGGATGAGCGTCACTTCGTCCCCGATTACGACTGTTTGTCGCGCTTCCAATCTCCGTCGCTGGATGCGGCCGCTAGATTAGACTCTGTTGCATGGATTCTTAAGGTGTGAATTTCTCCTTTGCTTCTCCGATTCATTTCACAATCGCTCAGAAACTTTACATTTATTACCAAAATGCCACTATTCACGTGATGAATGTTGCGATTATACTAACAGAATACGTCGGCGATCATTAGTACTCAAAACAGATCCGTGGCCGTCGGCGAATTCGTTTGATATATTATGATTATGTAGAACAGTAAACTTTTATATTTATCTCCAGCTCCGTCGCACACGGTGGTTATATATGTACTGCGATTTTCTCTTGCAGGTTCAAGCCTATTATGGTTTTCAGCCGTTGACGGCGTATCTCTCCGTCAACTACTTGGATCGATTCCTTTGTTCACGGCGTTTGCCGGTGAGATTCTTTAGCGAGAAAAAAAATTTATTGCGTGAATTATTTTGAAGATTCAGGATGTTCGTCGCGAGATTCTAGTGATAAATAATTTATTTTGTTTCTTTTAATGGCAGTAATTGCATTTGACTTTTCAAACCATGAAAATGACTAGACTATGGCGATACTGAGCATAAAACGTAGCTGTATTCAGATTAAGACTGCAATAATTTATTTTCAAAATAAAATATCTATTTAGTCATTCACGTGACAGAACTGTTAGTTCTCGTATTTCAAGATATTTTTTGACCACTAATTAACTTTAGGCATCGTAGTTTGTACGATATGTAAAGACATACTTTTAATTTTCAACCTTTCGGGAATTGGGGAAATGTTTAATCAAATGATAAGAAGTAAATTAGAGTAAATATTATCGTGCACCTCACTTTGTTATATGGTTGCTAGAGTCTTGAAAGTACGATTTTATATTCATTATGCCTTTTACAAACTTTTGTTTCTCCTGTTGCGGCACATGCAATGTGACTATGTGAGTTAGTGCACAGTGCCGGCAAAGGAACGGATAGGATCAACTTATTTGCTTGCTTATCTCTTCTTAATAACGATGTTGATTTGTTGAGATATGGAATGATTAGTGCCAGAATGGGATATGGAATGATTAGCTTTTGTATTGTTTTCAGCAAACTAATGGGTGGCCTTTGCAACTACTCTCTGTTGCTTGCCTCTCACTGGCTGCTAAAATGGAGGAACCTCTTGTTCCTGCTTTACTGGATCTTCAGGTCTATTTGATTGGACATTACTTTTTCATTCTCTTAATGGAAAATAGTGGTGTTTTCTTTTTCTTATTTGGTGTATTATAATGTTTTTGTTTAGGTTGAGGGGGCCAAATATATATTTGAACCCAGAACAATATGCAGGATGGAATTACTGGTGCTGAGGGTATTGGATTGGCGGCTGCGCTCTGTAACGCCGTTCAATTTCATTGCATTCTTTGCTTGCAAGCTCGATCCATCTGGGGATTTCATGGGATTTCTTATTTCAAGAGCCACAGAAATTATAATATCAAATATCCGAGGTAAAAAAAGATGACTAAACTGGGCTGTTTTTAGACATAGATGATGAATATGGGTCTTGAAAGTGAAATCAAAGCTATTTATGTGGTCCACAGAGGTAATCTTTCTGGAGTACTGGCCATCGTGTATAGCGGCGGCCGCCTTGCTTTGTGCAGCAAATGAAGTCCCGAATTTGTCTGTTGTGAATCCAGAGCATGCTGAATCATGGTGCAGTGGTCTAAGGAAAGTAAGCACCAGATTGTGATTACGTCGGGCATGTGTGTTTTATGATAAAAAAAAAATGTTCAGAAGGATGCCAATTTCGAAAGAATGTTTATATTTGCAGGAAAATATCATCGGCTGCTACCGGTTAATGCAAGAGATTGTGCTTGATAGTAGCCGAATCGAGTCCCCCAAAATCCTATCTCAGTTTAGAGTGACAGTCTGCACTAGAATGAGATCCAGCGACTTATCCCCCTACTCCTCTTCTTCCTCATCTTCGTCATCACCAAACAAAAGGAGAAAATTAAATCAGAGCCTCTGGGTAGATGATGACAAAGATAACCCCGAAGAATGAGGAGTCCCAAATAAAGAGGTGGCCCAACTTTGTCCAAAAAAAAAAAAAAAAAAGAAGAAAAAAGGTAGAATCCTCGATATTTTTTGGGAGGGTTTAGATAATAAGTTAACATAACTAGAATGGTGAGTGTTAATTATAATAGCATATAGTGTAAAAGAATCTCAGAGTTGGGGATGAGCTGGGAGGTTTTAATAATTTATTTATTTTTCATAATGTTGGTGGGCAATTGCCATTCATTAATATGGCTTTGCAGATTCCCAAGGGGGGAAATGGGAGGGGTTTGTTTGATTTTGAGGGAAATAGCGAGATCGTTGAATAAGTGGAGTTCATAGAGCAGTGGAGTGGGACCTATTTTTAGAAATGATGAAATGGGCGGTGGCCATATGGGTTTCAAGTTCCAAGTTTGAAGTCAGAGCAAAAGTTTCCCATCTCCAACCAACTTATTTTGCTCCCCAATGGATGGGCAGTAAATAGCTTGACAGGTGGCGCTCCAATTTACGGCTTTGAAACGGTTGTGTATGCCCACGCTTTTTGGTGCGTGGCATGCTCTTGCGTGTGTGTGTGCGTGTATGTACTGTACGTGGTCGAGTTCCCGCCCCTTCGGCTGGAAGTGCCTCTTTTTTTCAATGGCGTTGAGCCTACTGGAGTTGTTTTCACAACTATATGACCTTGGTGGTCATCGATTTGTGAGTTCATTCTCTTTTTTCTCCTCACTTTAAATTTATTTATTTTTCACAGCCTGAGTTAGGTGGGAAAAAATCCCAAAGTATACGAAAGGTCTTTGGGGCCTTTGAGTGCTTGTTTGTATTTGGTTTCAATCAATGTGATTAATTTCCACTCATCTCTCTCTCTCTCTCTCTGTTTGTGACTCTGCCCATCGCATGTGATTGACCATCCATATTTTGTAGCTTTCTGAATTGGATCTTCTTTATCAGTCTCATTGTTCATGTATTATCACTATTATTAGTGTATATGAGAATGGGCTCTCACTCAACCAGCTGTCTGGCCCCTCCGATCAGCTAACCCCCGGTGACCTCCGCCGTGGCTGTTTTCAATTTAAATTAATACCCTTTTGTCATTGGGAAGTTGTGGTAGTACAAGAAACACGAAAGAAATTGTCATTTAGCCTTGGATACCCGACATTCGATGCATTATTTTTTCATAACTATGGCCCTTTTACATATCCATTGCCTAAATGTAACCATGCGTTTCACCCCTTTTCTTTTTAAATCTTATTTTATTTGCATTATGAATAACATAGTGGACAATTCTCTGGTGGATGGGTACTCGTAGATTACAAGATATTCCATTGATTAGTCATCCTCCAGGACCATAATGTTTGCCATGAATTTAAATAGTTTTTTTTTTAATACACAGAGACAGAGACTTGGCCCTTCTGAGGAGTAGCTTTTCTTTGCAATGATGGGTTCGGTTCGTGTATTAAATTTGGGCATTTCTGCAACTACTTACCCAATTTTGTCAAATTAATATTTATTAGTCGGTTTCTTGCAAGTTGATTGATATTTTTATCAACTCCAAAGACTTTTGTCGCATCATTTCATATTAAATAATATGTTTTCTAATTACCCAGAGAGAAAAATGAGGAACACCATGCTTCTTCTGTACGTTTAGCAAAGAGTATTTAAATAGCACATGGGTTGAAGAAAATATAGAATGATTGAGATTATCACAGCTGCTCTATAATTAATATATTTTGTCTCTTACTATATAGTTTAAATACTTTATATTATGTGCTTTTCTTTTGAATAATACTTTATAATATTTTATTCCATGTGTGTGCATATAATTTATTTAGTTATTCCTTTATATAGATGACACCCTAGAAAAAAACATAGAGTTAAATACCATACACAGCTTTTTAATTTGGATTTCTTGTAGCTAATATCCAAACTTTAGAGCACATCAACATCGAATGCTGAAAAAAATCTTCGTATATTTTAATTTAATAAATATTTGTGGATCCCCATAAACCAATATGTCATTTGATGGTTGCTATTAAATTACCATTTGAGAAGGACTTGAGAAATCAATCAAATGAAAATATTAGAAAATGGGTTCCCACTAGAATTTGGAGTATCCCCAACGCTGATCAGAGCCACTCCACCAAAAAGGTGGCCATTAAATTTAGAGGTGGGCCAAAGATCAGAAGTTAATGATCATAAATTAGTATTGTCCAGCGGAGGCCAACCCCAAAGTCTTTGTTAAAAGGTACGTACAATTCAGAATAATCTTCTCTGCACTATTTAAATCCTAATTGGGTTCTGATTGGCGAAAAAAATAAGGTACTGAAAACCCCATTTGAAATGTATATACAAAAATGAGTTTGGTTGAGGTTTTGATTGGCCCAAGTGGGTAGAATCCAGCGAATATTTCCAATGAGGGAAGGCTGCTGCTGCATAAAGAAAGATGGTCACAAGGTGTTTGATAAAATGCTTGAATGAGTCACATGAGAAACAGCAACGGTGGGTAGGGAAGGCCAACGCAACGCCCTTTCAAGCTTATTTGATACCGCCAATCGTGGGGGTTTGATGGAGACTTGGTGAGTAAAGTAAAGTGAAACCTACATATATGAGTTTTGGATTTTATCACCCTACTTGGTTCCCACCATTATAGCTCATCATTAATCCCCAAATAGTAGTATATGTATTGATCATTTAGTAGCAGCCGGAGCTATGATAAGCCCATTATATGTATATCTAAAGAGTAAATTTCTTGAATAATACAACCAATCAAATCCTCCCATGTGTATCCAACTGCACACAAAAGGTGTCCCAATGTCTCGTAGTGTCGGGGATTGAATTATCCATTTAAACTAGTAGTAAGATAGTCAAGTTTTCGACTCTAAGGTTCATTAAGGAATATTGCATTCCTTTGATAATTGAGTCTATAATAGTTCAAGCTTACTGTTTTCTAGTAGATATTATCTACTTAAGCTCGTTACGTATTCCTATAGCCTCAAAATTGTGTGATTTGTAATTTGGGATACGTGAACCACACCAAATACGAAAAATACGAAAAATAAATGGGGTCCGAAGATCCCTTTTCTTTTTTCTTTTCCATTTTGCTCCTTTTTGTAAAATGATAACAATGGCTTTAAGGGCAGGCCAACTGGGTTTGCATAGCATGTGTTGTTTTCTCTGAATAAAAGAATGGACTTTAAAGAGAGGAATCCTAAGTTGGTAAAGAGAATTCATGTAAAAAGGCCAAAATTTCTTTTGCCCACTGATCCATTGATAGGTATATATATATGTGTGTGTGTGTATATATTCTCTTCTTTTTGTGTGGGGTGGGCAAATGGGTAATGTTCAGTCCACGCTGCAAAATGGCTTTGCTTTTCTTCTTCTTCTTTGTTTGTTGCAGGTGGCTTTAAAAACACCACAAGGAATGTGGTTTTTGCAGCAGAAAAGCTCATAAGGCCCCTTTTCGACATGAATGGGTTGAAAAGCTCATCTCAAAAATTCCTCATTTCTTTCCCTTTCAAACTTATAGGAGTGCCGAGTGGTGTCTCAACCAACATCACCTCACCTACTCCTACCCCTGTTTGATCTTGAATTTATAAGTAAGGAATATATCATCATCAACTTTTGCGATAATAGTGAGTATTTATATATTTGTTATAATAATAATAATAATAATAGTTTAAGGTTGTCATAAGGTAGAAAGAAGGTTGATGATGATAATTGGGATACCAATGAAGTGAAGGTGACACCAAAAGAGGGAGAAAAAGGGAAGAAAATAAAGAAAGCATAGTGGGGTTTAATTTTTTTCGAGGGAGCGTCTGTGGGTATCATTTAGTTATTCTTTTTATTTATTTATTTATTTTTTGGATATTTAAAATGGTGTAATGTCAGAACTGCCCTCAAGTGGACACAAAAAGGGTCTTCTTTATAATCATCGCTATTTATTTATCTTCCTTGCTTTCATCATCGTCGTCATCTACTTCTCTGGTTTAATTATTTTCTTCTTCTAATTTATTTTTTTATTTTTTTTATTTTGAAAATTTTCAAAAATAAAATAGTTTCTGCCTAATTAAATTAATTACTTCATTCATTTTGTAAGAGTGGATGTGTGGTAACTTAGTGGGCTTTTTTGGGCCTGGGTCACTTTCCAGATCACATATTGAAGGCCCAAATTGGTTGGGCTTAGGCCCAACGGACATTATATTGGGCTTTTCAAAAATTGGGCTTAGGTTATGGGGCGGGTGCTCTACGGTTGTGCTCGGGTCTTGGTTTCTCCCGCCAAGATCTCTCATGTTTTAACGGTCTTCTTCATCCAACGTTTTGTCCTTTCCCTTCTCGCGTAACCTTCGTCAATTGAACCTTAACTTTGTCCGCGGTTACAGAAGCAATCCGATCGTGGCCAAGTATGTATACCTAGATCCGGTAGCGGAATTTGTAGTAGTCGTAAGTTTTTCTTTCCAATATAGCGCTTTATCTGCTCAAATTGATTCCGGTTTTGCGTTGATTTATATGTTTGGTTGTTTTTGGCAGGAAACCCAGAAATTTAAGGAGAAAGTGTCGGAGAAGCTAGCGAAGGATCGTGAGACGATTGTGGAGGTTTGCTCGAAGTTTATTGTTTTATTGATTTTCGAAACTTTTAGGTTGAAAATGTTGTAATTCGTTCGTTGGGTGATTTGAATTTTGGATGCCCTTGTATTGGGTTGAAGAAGATGTCTGAGAAGCTACCCGTCTTGTGCAACGCAACGAGAATTGGCCCTCTATTATCGGGCGAGGAAAGAGACCCCTTCCTTTTTGGGGGATCAAGTTCCCGGCCCAAGACGCATTCGTTGACAAAATCGCCGTAGGAATGGAGACCTTCCCCTCAAGCGGAGGCGAACTGATCAACGAGAAAGAAGCTCTACTCACTGTAAACGAATACACCACAAGATCAACCTGCACTCATGCCTCTCTCGCATCAAGTTGACCGACCCTACTACGTAGTGATTATATCAATCATGTGTGGGGGCCCTCCATTTTGATTGGTATATCATGAAAAAATCAAGCCATTTGCACCCGGCTCACTGCACTTTCCCTGCCCAGATGTTCGCCTTTCTCAGTCTTAGAAAGGTGACCCGCCGAAGACGGGAGCCCTTTAACATGTTTACGAAGACCTCCTACTTATTAGAGAAAGGGGGTTCGATCAGTAGAGGGGACTACTTTGCCTCCCCGGAAGAGAAAGAGCATCGCTGGACGACTGATCCCGTTGATCATATAACTGGGAGGGAACGTGTCACATTAGTTGTTTATGATTGAATCTTATTTTATGAATGGGCCATCCGAGAAACCTCGAAAGAGATTCGCTTATGAATCTCCTGTTGAAGAGTTAGACTGTTTGTTGAAGAGTTAGACTGTTTGATTGCAGAGTTATTTTAGTTTATTTGTGCTTTTGTGTTTTCATGGCTTGAGAATTATTTCCCATAGGTTCAATGATTCAGCCCTGAGAAAACATCGGACCTGCCAATATAGCTACAGAACTAGTACTGTTTCCAAGACAGCTTCCATTAATTGCGCAGAAATTTTCTGAATGTTTGACCAGTGCTGCCATTATTGATATGCTTCTTGTATTTTGATTTTTCAAATCAAAACTGAAATGAAGATTCCAATTTGAATTCAGTTGTCCGAATTTATGTGATAGTCTTCCAAGTTGTAATATCAGATATTTGGTGAATATTGCATGTGGAGTACGGAGGTTCTGGGACATTGTTGGTGGAGCCTTCCACCCAAAATGGTTATTACTCTCAATGAGAGGAAACTACCAGGAGCCTTTTGCCTCAAGAACTTCGATCCTTTCAGCTCAAAATCATCAAGTTCATGATTGGAATTCGAAAAGAGGGCTTAAATGATCTGTTTTTTCTAGTTACATTTGTGAAGATCCTTGTATTTTGTATTGAGACTTTCTGTTCTTTTTGTTGTTGCAGGCAGATGATGAAGGAAAAACTGTATGCTTCATCACAAAGATACTCCAATACAGTGTCAATTTCATTGATATCTTTGTTGCTATACACATGACTTATTTCTCTCAATACATGAATCATTCTGGGGCTGTGGTTTTACACTGAATTGGAACTTCGGATGCCCATTTTCATGTTCTATATGAATCTTCACACTTTCCACAATGAGCATCTTAAATCAAGCTCTACTATTCTGTCGTATCAACCACACTTGCTTGTCATGATTAAGAAAAAAGGGTTGAACATAAAATCAGCTGGCAGCTTCAGAAATGCTCTGCAACGATGGTCTCCAAGCCTTTGGCCTCGCCGCAGTGGCGTTTGCTGCTGGTGTTCTGATGCGATGTCTTTCATGTTTGACTACCTGCAATGTTTATTTCACAGAGATTATTGGTATGATTTTATCTTGAAAAAATCACTTCAAGTTGCCAAGGATCCCATTCACCATCATATTTGACTTTTTTCATTTTCTTTTGCAGTCATCTGCTGTGATTCAAAAGGAAACAAATCTGGTTACCTGCTGGCTATTTTCAGTCTCATCTCCGGCAGCCGGCTTCTCCGGCTTCCTCTCCGACTCCGGCAATTGCTTCTTGGATTTTGCATACTTTTTAGCTCGCAACACCTTTATAACCTCTGCAAGTTCCAACAAAACGTCAAAAGGGCTGAACTAAAACAGAAGGAAGTGAAAGAACTTCAAATAGATCAAAGAGGCACCATACCCTGAGTAGTGACAAGCCGATAGGCATGGCCAAGAGCAAGAGTGTCATTTGGCCGGAGAAGCTTGACACGAGTAAAACGCACCGTTTTGGGCTCCCGATTATCTTCCTCAGATTGAGGCAAGGGAATTATAAGAGAAACATAGTGACCCGGATTAGTCCTCATGACTTCACTCGCCACCACCGGCCAATACAGCCTCTCAATCCGGCCAGTTGGATGCTGTATAACCAGAGCCGCCGCATCAACCGCCTGGCAATTCCCCATCTGAATGAATTCTGCAACTGATAGATAGATCGAAAGAAGAAGAAGAAGATGATGATGAAGGAAAGAAGTCTCTTTCTATACAGCTTCTGTGCTCGCCAAATGGGTCTACTTAGAAGTGCATGCCGTCCATTCATATATCTCACACTTTCCAACTAACTCAATGCAACGTGGGTCAAATTTATATCGAAAATTGACAATGTAACCCACGGAGATTAGAGCATTAAAAAAAATAAAATTACCTTTTTATACGTTCGATGATAAAAACTTAAACTTTGTGATTTTGGCTTTTATTATTTTTCAATTAAAACGACAAGTCGGCAACCCCACTGCAACCAGTTCGATGGTAAACTCCACGTGGAGAGATGCCAGAAATCGTTATCTTTGGCCGGACGTGCTCAGCGGTGTTGACGGAGGTCAATGTTTTCTGGCTGATTAAACAATTAAGAAACAAAACTCAAACAAAAACAAAATCAATTAATTAAAGGAAGATTGAAAGTATTGAAGACGACAACGCGTGCGGTTCTTAAGATTCACAACAAAATTTTCTTCTTCTAACTTATTACAAGCCTAGAAAGTTCGTAAACTCGAACTTATTAAAACTACGAGTCAAAGCGAACCTTTTTTTTTTTTTTTTTTTTTTTTTTTTTTTTTTTTTTTT